ATAGAGGTTCTTATCAGTGAAAATAACCTGATAATCCTATCAAGGACTGTCATCTCAGTGATAACCAGTCCCCCTCTAATTGAATGAATACACTGTATCCAACTACAACTTGTTTACTTATTTATGGGCAATACTGGGGTTTGAACTCAGGGTCTTATGCTTGTATTTTATTTTTAGTGAAAGTGATAGGAATATCTTTCTAAGATGAGAGTAATGATGGTTAGAAAAATTGAAGAAAAAGGAAAGAAATAGGCTAGACACACTTTTCCACAGGTGAGGACTGCTTATTGAGGTATATCAGTGAGGGGCACAGCTTTCCTGTGGGCTTGGAGACTGTGCAAAGAGCTGGGACAGGAGTTTGGGTTTTATGAAGACTGAGCAAGGAAGCAGAGGTTAATGTAAAAGCCATTAGGGAGGCAGGGGCTTTCAGTTGGGCCCAGGATGGGATGTTTACAGCCAGGCCTAGGTAGATTGCCCTGCATGTGTCAGGCAGTCTATGCATATCTTTGGTGAATTGCCTGACATCTGTATGCACCTGGGAAGACAGGGTGGGGGTCGATCCTTCATAGTCCATCTTTGGATACATAGAATGGGCCCAGAGGGAAGAGGCAAGTCCTTCATAAAGGGTCTTGGAATACATAAAAAGATTAGGCCAAGTGGAGAGCAACATGCAGTTGTGAGAACAAAGCAGATTCACATCATTTGAAACCTGAAGAAGTATAAAAAGTTGAGGGACGTCGTGGTCTTTTTTGGCTACTTCCTTGCAGACATGGAGGCATCGAAGCCACTGGGGCTGGGGTGTTCCGGTTCCAGGTCTGTGCTGGGCAGGGCAGGGCGGTGTAAGCAAAGCCTCTGGTTGCCTGCAATAATAGAATGGCCTTGAAGTGCTCCCATGTAGTGAGTGAATCCTGAGTGAGGGCTGTTATCCTATTAAAGAGAAACTTCAAAAAGCTGAGCTCAGGCAAAAGTCTGACACAGTGGCAGGACTGGTTGATATGAATAGCACAGGAAAACACACCTGGGCACAAGCCAGAAAATTTCCATTTGGAGCATAATCCCAGTTGTGGCCCATTAAGGGAAAGAGGAATTTCCATATAACTGGACTATAGACATCTGGACTATATAGTATGGATGGAAAATTAAAATAGCAAGTAACACTGGGTGGCAGTGACTCACACCTATAATCCTAGCTACTCAGGAGGCTGAGATCTGAGGATCCTGGTTCAAAGCCCCTGGGCAAGAAGATTTATGAGACTCATCTCCAATTAACCACCAGAAAAAATAATACTGGAAGTGGGATTGTGGCTCAAGTGGTAGAACACTTGCCTTGAGCTGAAGAGCTCAGGG